TAGTTAAAGTTTAAACTTTTTGACTTCTAAAAAAACGAGAGTCGTATTCTTTTGTGGACAGAGGGTAGGAAAGTGTGGAAAGAGAAAGAAATATACAGAGGCGGGGTACACATCGGGTGATTCATTGATCCAATCAGATCTCAATCTAAATTTGGTTTATGTACACATATGGGTAGGATATATATTCAGCAAAATCCGACGGATATTAATTATCCACCAATCTTTTACGGGTCATCCAATGTCGACAACAAGATATTTGAAAATTATTCTCTCCTTAGACTTGCATTTTCATAATTGTGTATAATTGTGTCTATATGATATCTATAAGCCTATAACGTACATGGACTGAAAATGCAAGATTATTGCGCACCGCTCCCTATTCACTCTTTACTAATCCATGCCTGTGTGACAGCTATCTGCGATTTGTACAATAGCTTTTGGTATGTTCGGCTGCAGCCGCTTTTTCTCCACGGCCTATCGAGGAATGGAGCTCACTAATAGAAAATTAACAACAAGCTTAATTTAGCATGAAAAAGAGCCACATGAAAAGAACAAGAAAGAAAACGAAGAAGACAAGGAGGCGAGAGCGGATTTAGGCTGATGAATTGGTCAACGACAGCTACATTGAGTTCGTGCCCATATAGGGGCTGTTTTGTTTCACGTTTCCAGCCCATCATCCATTTACAGCGTGAATGGATTGCACTACTTCGTGTTTGGATGGGTCGAATGATAACAGATCACAGCGTGACCCGTTCCATCCCACAACTCGGCTACCCCTCTCCTCCCGGTGGGATCTGCTCTGCTCGCGGACTTCGAGAAATCAGCGTCGCCATCCCCATCCCCATCCTCGCACCTGCGTGCGCGTGCTCCATCCCGCCTCTCCCCGTGTCCCCCGCTGACGTGCCCGCACCCAAGATCTCCTCGAAGCCAGCCACCGCAGTCCGCACCAACCAACCACGCCACCCCTGGCTCCCGCCGTGGCGCTTGGACAAGGCCAAGGACAAGACTCCCGCCGCCGAGGCACCAACAGCCGCACCCCCTAGCGGCACCTATGTCTAAGATGCCCACCACGGCGCTGACCTCAGGGACCAAGCCCGCCTCGCTCCCGCGCCGGCCAAGAAGTTTTCCTCTTTGTACAAGGAGAAGAAGAACAGGTAGCACTTATGCCGTGAACCAAAACAAATAGCGTTTTCGGTTCCCCTATAACAGCTGACGCCGACAATTAATTGCATTACCGTTCCCACGTCCATTGCTGAACCAAACAACACCATAGTCATGGCAGATAAAGAGAGGGCAATTAAATAACGAAACAAACTATTTGTAAGAAATATTTTTAAGTCACAAAATCCGAATATGCCACGGTGGAAAAACTAGCTACCCTTTCAGGACGTGTTTTTTTTTGTTTTGACACACCAGGACGTGGAATTCGATCGCTTTTTTTTTAACACACCAGGGACGTTCAATTCGATCGCTAAGAGAAAGGGAAAATGCCAAAGGGACGGAATAAATCACGTAGCAGATGTCGTATCTCACAGCTGCTATATTGTTCTCCGGTGCATGTGCGTATGCCATTGCCATGCACATTAGCACTTGTCCAGGACCGTCCATCCACACGACCTGTTGTCGCGCTCTGTACTGTACCACACACACCTCCCCTGGGTCCTGTATCTGTTTGGCACAAAAGGTGTGACGGTGGCTTCTACGAAGAGTTTTTTCCACACAAAAAAAAAGAAATAAAAGGGTCCGGGAATCTTAACGCATGTTCGCTTGAACTTATCAACCGGCTTATCAGTTAGAATCTTACAGTATTTTTCTCTCACAACAAAACAGCTTCAGCCGACTTTAATACCAGCCGAACAGACCCTTATTCTTTTGGGTCGGCCTCAAAAGCGCCCATGAGCCCAAGATCACCAAATTCGATCGCGTGAGGTGGCCGAGCTGACCATCAGCAGGCATGGCGTACGTGAGTTGGAGCGGGCAAAGGGCAATGCAGACACGAGGACGGGAGAGTAGGGAAATGGATGTGTTTGGAAAGAGCAGGCGACTGATGGCCGAGCTGATTCTTTGAACGTAATCAACGTATATACAAACGCGACACCGCGTGTCACGTCGTTGCCAGTGTTTGGAATATTAGGCATTTAAATATAAATCATGCAAAATGTAACGAAGGTTAGGTATGGTTGCAATACTACTCTATCCATTCTAAATTGTTTTGTTTTTTCTTCTTCTACTAGATACATAAATTTTGGAAATCTTAACTTTGGGAAGGTAGGTGGTTGGGTTCATAGGACCTAAAAATTCAGTATCCTTCGTTGTCTCATATTGTCCGAAGAAAGCCAGCAGCAATAGTTGAAATTTTAGATTCTGTCACGTTGGGTGCACCTTTTAGAAGATCAATAGACGGAAATAGACTTAGAGATTGACAACTTATCGTGGCAAGAGTGGCTAATATTAATAGTGATGAAGGGCCGGGCAACTTCTTGTGGTGGCTACATAAAAATGGAGAGTTCTCTGTTAAGTCAATATATAAGTGTCTTGTCAATACAATTGGATGAAGGTTTCACAAGAAATTTGGCATACGAAGGTGCCACTAAAAATTAAGATTTTTTGTGGTGTTTAAAAAAAATAGGACATTCTAGCTAAGGATAACTTAGCAAAAAGAAGGTGGAATGGTAATAATTTTGTTGCTTTTATAGCTAACGTACAGGAGACTATCAAACAACTATTTTTTTGTTGTTGTCATTATAGCAAATTCCTATGGTGTGCCATCCATGTAGGTCTGGGGGTTCGCCATCAGAATCGAACAATTATTTGATACTTGGTCAAAGTGGCAAGGACGAAAACAAAATACTCTATTATTGATAGGGGTTGCGCGTGTCTGTGTGCTGATCCGCCGTCATTCCAGAGTGGAAAAGGATCAACACTGAGAGAGCACTTGGTCCTTGCACGGATAGGGGGGGGGGGCGTACCTTGCGAGGTGCTCCAACAAGGCCCAGTGGAGAATGCCAACTCTTTCATATCTCAAGAAAACACCGATGTGTTCTTAACCCCTCTTTACAAGTATTTACATTTTACAATTTATATTTCTAGAATTGTCAAGCTATTGTAAGGTTGAAACTAGGGTGCAAAACTTATAGGACAAGAAGCACACCGTGTTCTAATAAAAAAAATGTTTGTTGTTTCAATCTAATTAGGCAAATAAGGACCTCTTTGGTAGAGTTTGTACCGGCTTCCTTCACTTTCAACACCGTAGCACCGGCTTCCACGTGCCGATGAAGCCACTTGGTTTCTAGTTGTTTTGAAAGGAGGATGTAGAAAAAACAGCTCTATAAATAGTGATACTACAGTGCATAAATAGTGCCACCACCAGAGAAGATGAAACCGCTACGAGCTGTGCCAAAAAAATGCGTAAATCGGATTCACAAACCACAGTGTGGTAGGGACCCAAAGTCCCAGTTCATGTGCACTGCTGTATAGTGATTTCAGTTCTGTTGTTTGGAGGACAAATACTAAGAATCTTGTTGCGGAGATCATCTGCTCGTCCACTCTGCGAGACGGTAATTGCCATCTTTTTGTGAAATCTTGTGCTGCATCGGCACAATAGCCTCACAAGTTCAGCTTTATTGTCAACATATCCATGGTCGTTTATTACAACTTCTTCAAGTGAATCCAACACAACATTTTGTGTCTTGCAGTTCTCTAGTCGGCTACATGGACATCCCGATGACACCTTGCAGGGTAGGGGTAGCCATCCTGAGGAAAGGAATTAAAGCATGTATGTATTTTAAAATTTTGAAAAGACTACTAACTTGAAGTAAATATTGGTAGCTACCTCTGAGCAAACCATATTTTGTACTCTCTCCATTCTTATTTGTAAGTTGTTCTAACTTTTTTAGACATATAGCTTTTACTGTGAATCTTAAGAAGCTAGAATGACTTACAATTTAAAATTGAGAGAGTATTATCTATCTAAACAAAAGGAGGGACTTTTTTATTGGAATGCACGTACCTACCCTACTGTCGCTCAGCTGCACCACAAGCCTTCGTATGCCAGCACATTTTCGGAGAAGATGTAGCATAGCTGGTTGAAAGCCATGCTCTATCATCGCAAATCTTACCAGCAGAACTTTCAGCCTGTTCGCTTGCTCGTAAACGATCGTAAATTTCCAGCCAGGAACAGTGTTTTTCTCTCACACCAAACCAGCCAGCAGTAAATAATCCACGATCGTTTACGGCCTCCCGAACAGGCTGTTTACATCTGGCAAGTGTATCCGTGCATTTCAGAAATCTCTCGTATTCTTCTACACCCTGCAAAAGACACGAAATAAGTGTGAAAAAGGAGGGTAGAAAGCAAAAGGTTATCTTGTAGGTTGTATATAAGTCCTGATTTGTCCTTTGGGCATGAGAGCTGGGCAAGCCAAATCGGGGCCAAGATCCAAGCAATCCTTGTGCTCACGGTCAATAACTAAACTTTAGTCTAAAACATGCTCATAATTTCAATGAATTAAATAAAAAAATATAGTTGTTATCTTCAATTCTACAAAACTCAGTGACATGATATTTTTTCTTTATTGGAAACTTCGGATTTCTCTAATTTTTAGCCTCATCTTCAAGAGGTTCAATATGTGGCTCTTTAACACAAAATTTAGAAAACAAACCAGAAAATAAGAAAAAATATAATAAGCCGTATGAGTATAGAGAATAAAATTTAGAGTCGAGAGACATGAGATAGATCATAGAAAGATAATATATATTTATGAAATGGCTTTCTAAATAAAGATATATAGATTCAAGTTTAGCAAGGCTTTTGGAGTTGCTATTAGCTAAGAAGAGAAGACTAATATAAAAGCTTCAAAATGAATTTCATACTAGTAGTAATACAAATAATAATTAAAAAATGTGTAAGGCCAATACCTGCGTAAGGTTTACAGTGAGGTCCAGCTCGTCAACCGTGTTGAATTGCCGCGTCAAAGCGAAGCCAGAAGAATTGGCTTCTACCTCTAGGCGCCGGAGTTGGTGGCCGGCGTGTGCGAGATGATGGCGGCTGGAGTCATAGACTCATAGGCACGGCCGCTGCTCCAGCGCACCTCCGAGAGCTTCGGGGCAAGCACGCACAAGTCACACCTGATGCACGGATGAAACGTCTGGAGATTTGGGGCGTGGACACGGAGCCGGCCGATGAGTCGCACGGCGTAGGAGATCTCGAGCCACTCCAGTGAGTCGGAGCGTATGGATAGGTCACAAGCTCCGTCGCCGTCGCCGTCGCCATCGTCCTGCTGCAGCCTGATCCACTCGATCACGAGCTTCTTGAGGCACGGGCAGCGAGACGACGACACGGCGGCTTCCAGCTCGCGGACGTGCAGGCAGGCAAACCGTATCGTCAGCGTGGCCAGCGCCTTGAACACGCCGCCGCCGGGGGGCAGCGCGAACCGCAGGGTGCGATGGCTCAGGTCGAGGCTGATGGACGTGGCCCTCTCGCACAGGGGAAGAAGGACCTCGACGTCGTCCTTGGCGCTGCGGAGGCAGAACGGCAGCGTGATCCGGAGCTCCCCCGCAAGGCGCTGCGCGGCGACATGCAGCCACGCGGCGACGCTGTCCATGCGCAGGTGGGTCCAGCTGTCGAACGGCAGGGTGATCTCGAGGCGGCTGAGGCTGTGTTACGATCTCAGATGAATCCTAGTATTTCGAGTAGCGTATTACAGAGTTTCAGGCGGAAGCAGGAACGGAACAGAGGAAGGATAGCAGAGCACGGGGGCCGGAAGTCAGAGGAAGTTTGCAGGAGGATGCAAGTGATTACAATTATCTTTCATAGCCCCTCTCGACTCACACCTATCCGTATATAAGACGCCGAAATCACGCCTTGGCCCATTCGCCGCCCGAGACACGCCGGTTAAGAATTCTGGGCCGACTAGACCTTCGTAGCTGCGGCCCATTCTCCCGTAGCGGCCTTTGTTCCTCTTCAGCTTCTGGTGCCGGATATACCACAGTAGAAGATGCAGGCGTAACATTCCCCCTTCCTTGCGCGCCGAGGCAGTCCCAGACGGTGGCATGGGGAAACTGTTGACGAAGAAACTCCAAGTCCTCCCAAGTAGCTAGAGACTTTGGCAGGTTAGACCACTGAATCAAACCCTAAGAAATAGAACGCTTACCCTTGGTGATGGATCTTGTCTGAAGAATCCGGTCAGGAATGCTCCACAGGACCGTCTCAGAAGGTGGATGACTGGTGACAGAATGATGAGTTCCCACCGACTTCTTGAGCTGTGAAACATGGAATACCGGGTGCACCGAAGAAGAAACAGGAAGTTCCAGTTTGTATGCCACCTCTCCCACGCGGGCCAAGATACGGAATGGTCCAAAGAATTTGAAGGCCAGCTTCTGATTGCTGCGCGGAGCCAAGGAAGATTGCACATAGGGCTGAATTTTAACGAACATCAGATCACCAATCTGAAACTGTCGCTCGGACCGATGCTCATCAGCTTGCTTCTTCATGCGTTGCTTAGCGCGATTCAGATGCTGGCGGATGACCTCTGACATCAAGGCTCGGTCAGACAGCCAAGTATCCAAGTCAGGAATGTCGGTGACTGAAGAACTGGCAATGCCAAAGTGGCACGGTGCGTGATCATACAACACCTCAAAAGGAGAACGCCCCAAAGCTGAGTGCCAATTGGTGTTGTACCAGAACTCAGCTTGATCCAACCACGGTCGCCACTGATGTGGTCAAGCATGCACGAAGCAACGCATGAACGTCTCCAGACATTGATTGACCCGCTTGGTTTGTCCATCCGATTGCAGATGATAAGCAGTACTCATTCGCAGCTCAACTCCAGCCAACTGAAACAGCTCCCGCCAAAAATGGCTTGTGCAGACTTTATCTCGATCTGAGACAATGGCTTGTGGCATACCGTGCAACTTATACACGTGAGATAGAAATGACTGAGCCACGGAACGTGCAGTGAAAGGATGCTTAAGAGGCAGGAAATGGGCATACTTGGAAAAAAGATCGACAATCACCAGGATGCAATTAGAACCTTGTGATGATGGCAGTCCTTCAATGAAATCCATGGATACCACGGACCAGGCGCTGTCAGGTACCGGTAACGGCTGTAACAAGCCGGGCAGCTTGGAACGGTCTGGTTTAGCTTGTTGGCAGACAACACAAGCTGCTACAAAAGACTGAATAGCTGACTTCATACCTGTCCATGCAAAGATTTGCTTCAATCGGCGATAGGTGACGGAAACGCCAGAGTGCCCACCAACAACAGTAGAGTGCACCGCAGCAATCAGACGAGTCTGCAACTCAGGATCAGCACCCACCCAAATATGGCATTTGTAGCGCAGCAGTCCATCACGAAGAGCAAAGTAAGTGATTGAATCCGGTGCCACAGCCAACTTAGCAAGCAATTCTTGGGCCCGCGCATCATGAGAGTATGATTCCACCATGGCCTCCAACCACTGAGGCTGACAAACTGAGATCACGGCTAAGTGTGCAGAAGGACAACGGGAGAGGGCATCAGCCGCCCCATTATCTACGCCCTTGCGGTAGACAATCTGGTACTGCAACCCAATGAGTTTGGTGAAGATTTTTTGTTGCTAGGGTGTGTGAAGCCTTTGATCAGTCAACTGTACCAGACTGCGATGATCGGTGATGATCTGAAACTCGGCATGTTGTAGATAACTACGCTAGTGTTCTAGTGCCAACAAGATAGCCATATATTCCTTCTCATATGTGGATAACCCTTGCAAGCGGGGTCCCAAGACTTTGCTGAGGAATGCCAAGGGATGACCCCCTTGCATCAGGACAGCTCTAATTCCGGTACCGCTGGCATCAGTCTCCACTACAAAAGGTCGGTGGAAATCAGGTAGAGCCAACACCGGGGCGGTGGTCAGAGCATGCTTAAGAGCTGAGAAGGCCTTGTCCTGGCTATCTGTCCAAACATATATAGCTCCTTTGCGAAGAAGATCTGACAAGGGTTTGGATAGGATGCCAAAGTGCTTAACAAAATGTCTGTAGTAACCGGTAAGTCCCAAGAAACTACGCAATTCTTTAACTGGCCGTGGAACAGGCCATTGCAAGACCGCCTGCACCTTATCAGGGTCAGTGGCCACACCTTTCTTAGAAATCACATGCCCCAAGTAACGAAGCTGGCGTTGGGCAAAGTGACATTTGGACATCTTGACCTGCCAGTGATCCTGCAGAAGCACCTGAAAGACCAACCGCAAATGCTCAACATGTTCTTCATAGGAATGACTATAAATGAGAATGTCGTCAAAGAAAACCAATACACATTTGCGCAACAGAGGAGATAGAGTAGTGTACATGGCCTTGAGAAAGGTGGCTGGAACTCCTGTGAGACCAAAAGCCATGACACGAAACTCGTAGTGGCCGGTGTGAGTTTGAAAAGCAGTCTTAAATTCTTCCCCACTCCTCAACCTAATCTGATGGTATCCTGCTGTCAGATCGAGACAAGAAAACCAAGATGCATTGGTAAGTTCATCGAGAAGCTCTTCAATGACTGGTACTGGTGTAAGTGAAATCAATCCCTATTGTGAGTTTTGGTATTGATGACCACCAAATTAGAGAACTAGTGAGATTTATCGAGATGACAAGCAGGGAATCAAAGAATGAGGATGATGAACAGGTTGCAGGTGTTCCAATTACAAAAGGTGGCCAGACCTAGCTCAAGGGAGGTTTAAATTCTTTTATGTTTTGAATTTGAGTTTAGAAAAAGCCGTACTATCAAGAGGGATTTTAGGACAGTTGGTCAACTATTGAATCAGATGCTCAAATTCACATATTTACATCCTTCCACCTAGTCAAAACAGCCAGCCAAATTTCATATCATATTACCTATTTTTGCTAGGGCGGTAGTGCCGTCCTGTTAAGACCGACAGTGCCGCCCTTAACTGACCGTTGGGCTCGGGGGGTATTTATACCCTTCAGGCCCGGCCCACAACGGTCATCTTCTCCACTGAATCACTCTGCGTGAAAACAGACAGAACCAAAGCTCACCCCTCTCCTCCATTGTTGCCCCTCCATCCCTCAAGCTAATCCTTGATTCCAACCATCAAAATTTGAGAGAAAAGACAGCAAAACTCGACTGGAGAGGAGATCCACTGATTCCCAAAGTCTAAGAGCATTTGGTTCACATTTGGCCGGCGGTTCTAGGGTTTGTTACTCTTGGAGCTTGCTCCTAGCTGGCTAGGTGTCGCCCTTGTGCTTGCCAACTCGTGTGGCAGCCTTGGGAGGTTTGTAACCTCATTCGAAAGCTAATAAATCACCCCTCACTTTAAGAGTTCACTCTCTTGATTTGAGAACGAGGGTAAAGCAAGCCTTTGTGGCAAGCTCAAGCCTTTTGTGGCTTCCTCAACAACGTGGACTTAGGCAAACCTTAGTGCTGAGCTGAACCACGGGATAAATCGTGTGTCTTGCGTGCTTTATCTTCATTATACCTGCTGTTTACATTATTGCTAGCTGTTGCTAGGGTTTAGTTGCTCGATTCACTGTTGTGTGAAGATTCTGTGGTATCCAGTCTTTGAAATGGATCTTGGCTTTATATTGCAGGATTAAGCAGCTAGTTGGGTCAGGTTCATATCTGTTAAATCTCAACTGTGTTAGATTATTTTTCGTAGAGCGGCAGTGCTGCCCTCTGTTGTAACAAAGTTTCGAGTTGAATTTTTACAGGCCTATTCACCTCCCCCTCTAGGCCTTCTTTATCTTCCAGTAGATCCTACAAGTGGTATCGGAGCGAGGTTGCTTCGTATACGCTTCATCGCGTGAAGTATGGAAGAAGGAGAAGGTTCGAAGAATGTTCGCGCTGCGGACACAAGTGGTGTGCACGCCGAGGATGTTGGCAGCAGTAGCGAGTTGTCCATGTCCACATCAAGTGATGCCACCGTCAAAGAACCCAAGACCACCGATGCCGAAAGAAGAAAGGCAAGAAAAGAAAGAAAAGCCGCAAAGATCGCAACAAGAGAAGCTAGAGAAAAGAAAAAAGAAGAGCAGCGGCTCAAAGACAAGAAAAGGAGAAAAGAAGCTAGAAGAATCACAAGAGAGGCGAGAGCCAAGAGAAGGGCAGCAAGAGCTCAAGAACAAGAGAAGAATGAGTATGATGCATCATCTAGTGAGCTCTCTAGTAGCTCGGACGATGGAGATGATGATGTGTCATATCATGCTTCAAAAGATAGCAAGGAGGTGAAGAGCAAGGACAAAAAGAAGGATAGCAAGGACAAGGGCAGCAACAACAACAAAAACAAATATGCCGTTGTATCCTTTAATTATTCTTATTTGTCTAACCATAACAAAATGTCTTTTGTGAATGTGCCCGTGGGCAAGTTGCCTCATTTTGATGGGACAAACTTTGCCAAGTGGAAGCACTTGATGAGTGCCTATCTTGTAGGTCTTCACCCCGGTCTTTGGGAGATTGTGGTGAATGGATTGCAGCCACCGGAAGATCTCAAAGCACCAACAAATAAAGAGTTAGTTGTTGTCCATCTCAATGGCCAAGCCATAAGTATTCTTCTTAGTGCCTTGGATGGAAATGAGTACAACCGAGTGATGAATGTCAATGTTGCAAAACAGATTTGGGACACTTTGCATCTA